TGGCCTAGGGAGGATTTTATACTGGGTTCATTTTAAGGAATTCGAAATAACACAACTTTAAAATTTGGTTTAATTCGGTTTTACAGGGGGGGATTGTATATATGCCTTTGTTTTAAATATGTTGTGAGCCGCCCTGAGTCCCGTTGGGAGAAGGGCGGGATATAAATTAAATAAAATAAATAAATAAATAAATAAATAATATATAACATGGACCATGCAGACACCATCAGACAGCAATAGGATATTCACATCAAAGTATTACAAATTACAAATACAGGATTTTCTTCTTAGTTTACAAAAGTCTTTTCATTCATTGTTAAATATTGAAAATACTGATTTTTTTTTCTAAACTTGCCTAGAATCATATTGTTGTATTTCTTTTTGCTTGGATAAATGGGGCAATCTGGTATCGAGAAGTGAGTTTTGTGAGAATGGGAGAACTTCTATAATTTGTTGAGGAAGACTTTTGACTTGGATCAGTGTTTCTCAATGTTGGCAACTTTAAGTTACGTGAACTTCAACTCCCAGAATTCCCTGGCCAGCCATTCATATCGTAAAGTTGCCAGGGTTGGGAAACGCTAGCTTAGATATGCATCATCTTTGTATTATAGTGGCTTGGAGTTACTGTATTAGTGAGATGGGTGGCATTTTAATAAAATAAATAAATATTTGCCTGGTTGGAAAAATATATTAAGCTACTTACCAAACTGTCTTTCAGTTGGTTGTTCAAGATCTGTTTTGTAAAGAAAGAATGAAAAAAGTTTTGGACATCGTCAATGTCAATAAAATTTACAAATAATCAAATGCTCTTCAGCTTGGATCACTCTTGCTCTTAACAAGGGAAATGTTTATGTTTTTCAATTTTTTAAAAAGTTATATATCCTGTTCACTAGAGTTATCCCAATTTTACTTCCTGTTGGAATTCTGCTCACGTCACTTTTAAAACTGAGCACTACTAGACTGATCTGTGTTATAAAGTCATAACATTATTGGATATATATTACAGGTAGTCCTCAACTTACAACCAAAATTGGGAGTAGAATTTCTATTGCTAAGCAGGGCCCTTTTTAAGGTGAGTCAGGCCTAATTTTACATCCTTTTTTGCCAGTCTTGTTAAAATAATCACTTAAGTTGTTAAGTGAATCACATGATTCTTAAGCGAATCTGGTTTCCCCCATTGACTTTGCTTGTCAAAAGCCAGATGTGAAGGTTGTAAATGGCGATCACATGTCCCTGGGATGCTGCAACCATTGTAAATACAGGCTGGTTGCCATTTTGATCATGTGACCGTTGAGATGCTGCAATGATCCTAAGTGTGAGGATCGGTCATAAGTTTTTTTGTGTGCTGCTGTAACTTTGAATGGTCACTAAACAAATGGTTGTAAGTCAAAGACTACCTGTATGAAGGTTTTACAAGTATAATTTCAATCTTCCCTATTGAAATAATTATAATTTTCTGGGCCTGTTAGAAGTAGCTGTCTGTATTTTTAGCTACCTGCTAGAACAGTGATGGCGAACCTTTTAGAGACCGAGTACCCAAACCCCACTTCTGCATCGTCGGGTGCCGGGTAGGTGTAGTCCATTGGGTGGGTGTGGCCCATTGGGTGGGCGTGGCTGCGGTGGTAACAGCAGACTGGGTGGGACTAAAAAGTTCCATCAATCAATTCCAACTTTGCAAGATCTTTTTTTTCTGTGAGAAGTTGAAATTGATTGATTGAACCTTTTTTTTTTGCACATGGTGGTGGAGGCCTAAAGCGAAAAGGTTTTATAAAACCCAGCTGAAGGCCTAGGACTGGGGCAACGGCGCGCGTGCCCACAGAGAGGGCTCTGAGTGCCGCCTCTGGCACCTGTGCCATAGGTTCGCCACCATGGTGCTAGAATGACATAATTATATTTTAACATAATTAATATATTAAATGACTGAATATTTTTGGAATTTTGTGAAATGTGGGTAAGATAAAAGCTGTTCAGAAAAACCAGACGATGTTCCATTTATCAGGCCAATGTAAACAACAAATACAGCCACACAATAGACATAGCACTTAGAGTTATATACCACTCCAAAGTGCTTTACAGCATTCTTTGTGCGGTTTTACAAATGTCAGCCTATTGCCCTCAACAATGTGGGTCCTCATTTTACTGACCTCAGAAGGCTGGAAGGCTAAGTCAAACTTGAATTGGTCAGGATTGAACTCTTGGCTGTGGGCAGTTAGCCTGCAATATAGTATTGCATTCTAACCACTGTGCCACCATGGCTCCTAATTGATGTTAGCCACAATCTGTTTCCAATATAATTTGTGAAGCCCCCTTTTGATATTTTTATCTAATGGTGGAGAGAAATATTCCTAATAATTTTAACATCTTGGAATTTTTAGACTCCTATTTCCAGAATGCCGAAAGTAGAATTAAGCCCCAAGAAATTAAAAATTGGATCCTAATACTTACTACAGTCCTGCTGTTCCCAAGTGTTGCATAAGGAAATGCCTTGCAAAATAATTTACTCTTATCAGTCATGAAAATATTCCAATAATGCTATTTACTGAGAACTCAATATGTAAATCAGAAATATCTTTCCAAGCTCATTATATAAAACTAATGTAGCTTGCAGGGATTCTAATTCCTGCTTTTGAGCTAGTAAAAGATTCTTGTCCATTGGTAAATTAAAATCAGTTTCTATGCCAGATGTTGTTTTTCGTTCTTCTATTTTTATAGAATAACTCACAATGTTAAGGATAAATATACACCCATAAAGACATATCATGCAAAAAATGTGGCTCAGAACCCACAGCAATATTTGTCAAAATTCAAATATGTAAGAGACCTGCCATGATTTTTAGAGAGGGAACAAAATGCTTGGCATAATTCTTAATGGAAGCATCAT